TAGCGCGCATGCGCGCAAAGTTTGGTTTTTCGTCTTTGAAACGATTTCTTCCTTTCGGTCTAGCCGTGTATGCTGTAATATTAAAGTTTAGTACCTTTTTATCCTCATTAAATCGCCATTAATCCTGCTTTTGTTATTTTAATCCATGAGCTGTGCTGCATTAATGCAGTAAACGCACGTATATGTACATTAATGTACGTGCGTTGGTTAATGTAAAATTCTTTGTCACTTTTAAGAGGCAAGGCCTTTTGTTTTATTTTCATCGTTTTAAGTTAACGTGAGCAAAGAAAGTGGCCCCTCGTCTGTACCAACTAATAAGGATTTGGCTGGCAACCTTCGAGTTCGAACCTTCATTCGAATCGTGCTAAGACAATCCGCCGTCCTGTAGTCTTTTCCGTATTTCCATATGATGAATACTTAGTAAGTAATCGTATGGTTAGTGCAATATGGTGACTTACCTTGGACTACCTTGTACGTACCCATTGGGCTACAGTTTTTCTCCTAAAAAACACAAATGGCATTCCATTTTGAATTATGAGCCACGCCTTCACTGTATTTTTTCACTGTCTGCTCTTATTGCCCAGTTACACTGTTGGCTCGTGTTAACTGATATCAACACATGTGGTTTATTAACTCAGTTACACTGCTGGCTCGTGTAAACTGAGTGTGAGTGTATTACTTGAAGATACACTGCTGGCTCGTGTGAACTGAGTGTGAGTGTATTACTTGAAACAAGCTTTCTGCTCTTCTTCCTCAGTTACACTGCTGGCTCGTGTAAACTGAGTCTGAGTTTATTACTTGAAACAAGCGAGTAATCGACAATTGTGTCAACGACTTCTTTGAAATGTTCGGCTGTGCCGATGCATTTCTGGCATACTAGGTACCAATAGGTAGTTCAAAGGCGTTTGCCTATATTTCCTTTAATAAACTTGACTTGAATAATTGCGTTTTCCTTTGTCGCCCGCAAAGTCGAGTTAACCCATCGAGTATTCGGTCAGCACATGACACTATTTTAAGTTAAACATAAACCACTTCGCCTTTGTACTTCTATTCTCTTCAGTGTTTTGTGGAGTTCTATTTGTTCTCACAGACGTTTTAGCAATCTCTCGAGAATATAGACTCGTCTATCTTGTTGTCTGGTAAGCTAGATTGACGTCTAAGTAGCAATTGATAACATTTATAGCATGCTGTGTATTCGACTCTTACCGAAAATACCGTATTCGGGTGGTGCATTAAAATTTATTTTGACATTAAGACCACTCGTGTGGGAAAAAGTGGCCGATTTTCGTGAAACCCTACTGATCTATGGATAAACCTAAACCTATACTTTTGGCTAATTAGTCAGCATTAGTTATGAATTATTTAAGACTTGCTCATGAAATTTGTATGTTCACTTTTACAATAAGTTTACCTTTACATTAAATTTTCCTTGGGACCATTGTTGACTAATGTCGGTGCTCTCTGTTTATATAGACACTCAATACAAATGAAGTCTTCGTATGTTTGGTTCGCCTTGATTTTTTAAGGCAGTGTAGAAGTGTAACAGTCATGTAGTTCCTTCGATACTCCAGGTTCCCATACATCCGAGTGAAGTTTTATTTGTCTACCTATTTATAAGTACTGGAGATTAGTTACTTGTGTAGTGGCACGCAAACTGTCAAGCTCAATCAACTCCCAAACTTATTGGGTTTTCAAGTACGACATTTGTGAGAGAAACACGTTTGTAGGTAGGCTGTTAATACAGGGAATCTTTTTATTCATCAAAGTATGCACCCGCGTTGCCAATACATTTTTTTCAGTTCAGCGGTAACTTGCTCGGTTTGGTAGCCTAAAGGTCCGGTGGATGGCAAAATCCATCACTAAGTGTATGTACTGAGCATGTTATGTCGACTCTAGAAATATTACAAGATTTAGCTGAATACAGTCTTAGGAGCATACAGAACCCACCCCGTTCCATGCCCGAGGATCCTGGGCCCTTCGAGCTATTATTCTGAGGAAAACTGACCTCTCCAGAGAATAATGCGGCTTAGTCTTACGGTCCAGTGAAGGTACCCTCCGCTGGTGTCACGCTAAAAAGACTGTCACCTGACAATTTTCGTTGCCTGAATATAAAATTACGATCTTAATCTAGTATTCAGCATAGATCGCAATGACTAATAATGTGCTAAAATCTGGATCCAAATGAACTGTCACTGCCACTAGCTTCGGCAGGATCTGTATTGGATAGTTTTCATTGGCGTCCATTTATAAACGCTCGCACTAATTCATATCTGGTTTATCAATGACCAATTTTACGTGACCCCTTTACAAATCACATTGAAGAACAAAGCCCAAAAGACTTTGCATGCCTTTCGCCGATTAATTTGTTTCCTTTTCAATCCGCCCCTGTCGCATATAAAATTATAACTTATACGTGCTTAATAAGTTATCTTTTATGTCCAGCACTGGTCGAGCTTAGTAAAAAAATTCCCTACAAAATGCTTTCTTATCGTCTAATTTTTCAAAATATGGTTTATCGCCTTTTAGAACGCCAAGCGGACAATATGCTCGACACCTTGACTATTCTTTATTTACCCATAACGCATTTCGGATGGTTAAGGATAATATGCGGAGGTATACTCGCCTACGTAATCGTAAAAGTATCATCTGCTTGGCTACAACGAAGAAAAGCGCATGCGATCCTTGTCGAAAAACACCAAAAGCTGTTGGAAATTCGGCAGAAAAGCCTATTGAGTCTGCAAAAGAATGCAGAACTGGAACATTTCTGTAGTCTGAGTACTCGCGAGTTGGCTGCCAAACTACGATCGGGCGAGGTGGAGCCCTTGCAGTTACTTCACGCATTCCAGCAACGTGCTGCAGAGCTCCTTCCACAGAACTGTATAGCTGAAGTTATCCTGGAGGCGAATGACCAAGCTAAAACTCTTGTTGTGGACAAACAAGTTCCACAGTCTCCGCTCTTTGGCATCCCGATCAGCTTTAAGGAACACTTCGGCATAAAAGGGTACGACACTCCACGTGGATTAATTAAAAACCTAAATAAACCAGCTTCCGAGGATGCCGTTTTGGTAAAAGTGCTTCGCTCAGCAGGAGCTATTCCATTTGTAACAACATCCATGCCACCGTCTGGATTGTCAATGGACTCATCCAATGCTATTTTCGGAGAACAGCGGCACTTTGCTGACAAAAGACGCCTAGCAGGTGGAAGTTCCGGTGGTGAGGCCCTGTTTATCGCGGGAGGTGGATCTCCGCTCGGCTTTGGATCAGATATTGCCGGTAGCCTGCGTATACCGGCCGCGTTTTGTGGTATTTCTAGCCTGAAGCCCACGTTCAAACGCCTTAGTCAATTCGGTCTTGTTACTGAGTACAGGAGGAGCAATGCTTGCTTAGATGTATGTGTAGGACCAATGGCAAGGAAGGTAGAATCCTTGGTGGACGCTATGCGCACTCTCCTCGGACCGGAAATGTTCAATCTGGATCCCACTGTTCCACCAATTCCATTTGATGAAGCCCTCTTTTCTGGTTCCTGCAAAAAGTCTCTGGTCATCGGTTATTACACCCAACTTCAAGGCGAAGCACAAGTCCCACCAGCGCCATCTGTGCAGCGCGCTGTTCTGGAGGCTAAAGCTGTTTTAGAAAGTCAGGGCCATTTGTTAAAGGAATTTGTACCACCGTCTCCCGACTTGGCAGAAGAACTTTTGTTGTCCACCTTTTTCTCTGATGGTGGTGCTGGGCTGCGTTCAGAGCTAAACAATGAGCCACTGCCCAAACACATGCAGATGCTTCGTATATCGCTTTATGTGCCTGCATTTTTAAAGCGTCTCGTCGCTCGCCTCGCGGGTTTCTTTCTCGGTAAGCCTGCTGCCCTTATACTTAGCTCCTCGATCGGCTGCCACTCCAGTGTGTCTGTCCTAGAGTTGCGACACCGGATTGCGGAATACGAGAAAGTCTTTGCAAAATCCATTTGCAGCTCAAATCCACCTTTTGACGCTATTATCTGTCCAACCTTTGCCTTTCCGGCCCCTCTTGCGAGCACTGCGGAGATATTTCTTGACACATCAATTCTTTACACGGCTCTCTACAACTTGATTGATTATCCAGCTGGCATTGTACCCGTGGGCGCTGTCACGCCAGAAGACGTAAAAGCAGCGATTAAGTTGAAGGAGGACTATCAGCGTTGCGGAGATCGTGTAAATGCTGCGCTTGCGAATATGCAAATTGGCAGTGAAGGCCTTCCGTTAGCGGTGCAAGTTGTAGGCAGACCCATGCAGGAGGAGCTGGTTCTGAGAGTCATGAAGGAGATTGAGTCTTCTGTTAACTTTTGGAAATAGACAGAGAAGGGACAATTGTGCTACATTGTTCGCTTTGGACATCTGCTTTTCTCGCCTGCGTGTCCTGCTGCAGTCATTGCTATATTTGACAATTGGACTTAATACATTGAGAATAATTTTCTTCCATGTTCTCATGTGCGCCGTGTGTGTTCAGCTTAACCTTTGCTTTCCGCTATATTGGCTTCTTAATCACCATTAAAATAACCTCGACATTTTATTGCTCTTCTGCTTTTTTGCATGTCTTTCGAATTTATGTAATTTGTCTAACAATTACTGTCTTTGAACGGGGGTAGTGTTTTGTTTCTCGTATACACATTCAGTCCTTGGTAACTTAAATATCAGGGGTGCTGTATGTTGGTCTCGCTTTGCGCTGCAATTACGCTTTTAAGTGTAAGCTTGACGTGGTTGCCGAAAAGATGATTTTTGTGTTGGTCTAGCTGCTGTCTACCCAGCATGTTTGTGGGTGGCTAGTAGTGGGACGTTCTTCAACGGATGTTATTTGCATAATAAATGGGCTCTCGGGTCTGGCGAATAAGCAGTTGTGGATCTGCAGCGCAACGCTACCAGCTCACGGTGGGCTGAGGTTTGACACGCTGTGGTCCGTATTTTAATACTGCGGCGCATTCTTGAATTACGTAATAGTTACCAACAACAGTTGAATTGACTGTTGCGTTCTATTACGTCTACCGTGAGCCCCTGCGACGGAAAATGAAGGTAGATGGCGTACCGGTCAAAATCATCCCCATGATTAAGGTCTACTATTGCTCCACCACCGCTTGAGTTCTGGTCCCTAATACTCTCAACCGTTCAGTATCCGGTCTGACGTTCAGCAGGGTGCTATCATGTTGCCAATTCTATTTGCTTATGTCAATGCGTGGACCCTTGGGAAGGCCCTACACAATGTTGACGTTGTTTTGTTTGCGCCCGGACGTCGGCTCGCCGATTTGTACTATGTTGATGATATCACCTTGCTAGCTTCAAGCGTTGTTGATCTATCCCCGCGGTGATGCCACTTTCGAATTTACAGAGTAAAGACAACATCGTCTCCTAAATCAAGGCTTCTCGTCTGGTTTTTTTAAACATTCAAAAGTGTCTATAGACCCGACTCGCTCTCTACCCCTCGCCACAAAGATCGCGTGTACCATGCA